AGACGATATAATAGGACAAACATATGCTATATACATCATAGTAGTTGCTGGAGCAGAATCTGCCATTGGTTTAGCTATTTTAGTAGCTTTTTATAGACTAAGAGGAAGTATTGCAATAGAATATAAATAATGTATTTAAGTATAATTATATTACCTTTATTAGGATCTATAGTATCCGGATTTTTTGGTAGAAAAGTCGGTGTGACAGGTAGTCGTATCTTAAGTTGTTTAAGTATAATAACAACTACAATATTAGCTATTATTAGCTTCTTTGAAGTAGGATTTAATAATAATCCTATATCAATTAACCTATTTAAATGATTAGATAGTGAATCATTTAATATGGTTTGAAATTTCCAATTTGATAGTTTAACAGTATCTATGCTAATACCTGTTTTAGTTATTAGTTCTTTAGTTCACGTTTACTCTATTGGATATATGAGTCATGATCCTCATAGTCAAAGATTCTTTAGTTACTTAAGTTTATTCACTTTTATGATGATTATCTTAGTAACTGGTAACAATTATTTATTAATGTTTGTAGGATGAGAAGGTGTTGGAGTATGTTCATACCTTTTAGTTAGTTTCTGATTCACTAGAATCGCCGCTAATCAAAGTTCTTTATCAGCATTTTTAACTAATAGAGTAGGGGATTGTTTCTTAACTATTGGAATGTTTGTAATATTATGATCTTTAGGTAACTTAGATTATAGTACAGTATTCTCATTAGCTCCATATATTAATGAAAATATAATAACAATAATAGGTATATGTTTATTAATAGGTGCAATGGCTAAAAGTTCACAAGTTGGACTTCATATTTGATTACCTATGGCCATGGAAGGGCCTACTCCAGTATCTGCCTTAATACACGCAGCTACAATGGTTACTGCCGGGGTATATTTACTAATACGTTCAAGTCCTTTAATAGAATATAGTTCTACAGTTTTATTAATATGTTTATGATTAGGTGCTGTTACTACAGTATTTAGTTCTCTTATTGGTTTATTCCAACAAGATATTAAAAAAATTATTGCTTATTCTACTATGAGTCAATTAGGTATGATGGTTATAGCTATAGGATTATCTTCTTATAATGTTGCTATTTTCCATTTAATAAATCATGCTTTCTATAAAGGTTTATTATTCTTAGGAGCAGGTGCTGTAATACACGCAGTTGTAGATAATCAAGATTTAAGAAAATATGGTGGATTAATTTCTTTCTTACCTTTAACTTATACAGTTATATTAATAGCTAGTCTTAGTTTAGTAGCCTTCCCATTTATGACTGGATTCTTTAGTAAAGATTTTATTTTAGAATCTGCATATGGTCAATATCATTTTAGTAGTATTAATGTTTACTTTATTGCCACAATTGGTGCTGTATTTACTACATTATACTCTGTTAAAGTTATATACTTAACTTTCTTAGCAAATCCTAATGGATCTGTTAATTATTATAAAAATGCTCATGAAGGTGATATATTCCTAAGTTTACCTTTAGTTATATTAGCTATATTCTCTATATATTTTGGTTACTTAACTAAAGATATATATATAGGTTTAGGATCTGGATTCTTTATAGATAATAGTATATTTATTCATCCTATGCGTGAAATACTTATTGATACTGAATTTGGTGTACCTACTATATTTAAATTACTTCCTTTCTTCTTAACTATATTATTCTCAGTATTATCTATAGTTTATTACGAATATATGCCTAAAGTAGTAGTAGATTTTAATTTAACTAACTTAGGATATTATATTTATGGATTCTTTAACCAACGTTTTTTAGTAGAATTCTTCTATAACAAATATATAGTTAACACTGTATTAGATTTAGGAGGTCAAACTACTAGAGTATTAGATAAAGGTAGTGTAGAATGAATAGGTCCATATGGATTTGGAATAGCTTTAGTAAAAGCAAGTAAAACAGTATCAGGTTTAGGTAAAGGTGTAGTTACTGATTACGCTCTTTACATATTAATAGGAGCTTGTTTCTACTTATCTATCGCCACAATATTCACTTTCATTACTTTTGATATATTATTTATTGTAACCATAGCAAGCATATTAATAATGTTTAACGTTAATAACTATATTGCTAGCAACGAATAATATTAATCATGTCTAGGCAAAGCCAGATTGTAGTTAAATAAATTATAAGTAGGAATAAACATGTCGCAACTAAAGCAATACTTTATTTTAAGTACTTTATTTTAGTGTTTATTTTCTTAGAACATTTGCGACGAGTTGTTAGTATTAATAACCAAATAACCATTTGCATATTATGCAGTATATATATTTAAGAGTGTAAAAGCTTACAAATATATAATAAACATTTATATAATT